TCTGGCTTCTATTAACTGGAGGGCTTGTCTCAGACCAAACTCAAATCCCCACAAATGTCTGGCAGAACTAATTGTTTCTATGCAGACTTCTCAAAGCATTGTGTGTTTACTCCTGTATTTTGTTGCTATTCTACCTGGGCAGGCCAGTGGGCATTTAGTGCTTGGTAAGCGGTTTGCAGCTCAGAGAATAGGTCACTCAGGAAAAGCAACAGGGGCAATTTGAATTAAACCCTGGAATGACACCATGAAGCTTAGGGTCTTCAGAATGAAATCTTGCTGTTTCATTGTGTATCTCTTTCTGGCCAACTGAAGTCAGGCTCTGGCTAAGTTCAGCTGGTCTCCCAGGGCACATTTAGTGCTTCTGACTTTAAGGGTAACAGGATCGTTAGTCATTTTTGCCACATTGCAATCTGTCCTCATGAATGTGGTACAAAAAAAAAAAAAAACAACCCAAGATTTTCAGGTCAAGGGAGGAGTGGGTTTTTGGTGCCTGATAAAAGCTGAAGCTGGTTTTGAAAATCAAGATGCCTGGCGGAAATTAGTGTTCCCTCGCAGCTGCATTGTGCTCTCGGAGCCTAGTTAGGCACTGTGCCATGAAACTGCTCAGTGTAACGAGGATGGAAAATTGGGAGGAAACGGCCTCTAAATGCTGTTACTCTTTAGAAACACCCTGTGAGTGTCTGTACCTACCCTTTATTTTGAAAATTAGTTTGCACAAAAATCCAAATGTAGTGATCAGATATAGTGGGAGAAGATTGATTATTCTGCTTACAGCCAAATTCTGTGGCTTTTTTCACCATGGGTTTCCCTGGGTTTTGACATGATATGATTTATTTACAATCAAGCTAAAGAAGCAAAGAAAAAAAATCAGACAAATGCTAACAACATCCCAGATCCCTTTACAAAACCTAGGAAGATATTCATGCAGTGTTCTTTTGCCCCCAAAATATGAGTCAGGAGACTGTTGAGAAGTGGATGTAATATAATGTTCATGTGGGGTGGGGGATGTTGCAGGGCACAAATCTAGATTATAAAGATTACTTTATGGGCTGGTGAGATGGCTCAACTCTTGTCAAGCCTGAAAACCCAAGTTTGATCACAGGGACCCATGTGGCAGGAGGAAAGAACTGACTTTTGCAAGTTGTCCATGGACCTCAATGAATGTACCATGACACATGCATGTCCCTCTCCCATGCACATACACAAAATAAATAAATAAAAAGAATGTAATGAAAATATTGTCAGTTGTATGTAGGTGTGTGAAGTGTGTTTTCCCCCTTGCTGTGTGTGTTCCTGTATGTTCTTGTGTGTACAGTGTGTATACATGTGGAAGCCAGAAGGGAACCTCAAGGTACCATTCTTCAGGAGTGATGAGTCTGATGCCTTGGTTTATGAGACAGGTTCTGTCACTGGCTGGTGCTCTCCAGTTAGGCTAGACTGACTGTCCAATGAACTCCAGGAACTGCCTATCCCTGCCTCCCCAGCCTGAGACTACAGGCATGCACTACTGTGCCTTGCTTTCATACATGGTATCTGGGGTGAACTCAGATCTTTGTGTTTCTTGCAGATGGCATGTGAGCCATCTCCCCAGCACCATTTTGTGTTTGTTTGTTTGTTTGTTTGTTTGTTTGTTTTATGACAAGACTTTGTGTAGTCCAGGCTGGCTTGGAATTGACTATGCAGTCCAGGCTGGCCTCAAACTCTTGATCTTTCTGATTTAGCCTCCCAAATGTTAGGACTATCTACTGTGTGTTTTTCATAGTATTTTGCAGAAGGTTAGTTTATCTTTAAAAAAAGTCTAAACTTAAAAGAAAATATGGGCCGGGCGGTGGTGGCGCACGCCTTTAATCCCAGCACTCGGGAGGCAGAGGCAGGCGGATCTTTGTGAGTTCGAGGCCAGCCTGGGCTACCAAGTGAGTTCCAGGAAAGGCGCAAAGCTACACAGAGAAACCCTGTCTCGAAAAAAACCAAAAAAAAAAAAAAAAAAAGAAAATATGTATGAGCTTTAAGAAAGCATGTGGAGAAATTGAGCTATTTTTAATGTAACCATTTCCCCATATTGCCTTTATAAAAAGTATATCTATCTTAAAAGTGGCAAATAAGCCCAATGCTGTTGTCCACATTCCCAGTGCTGAGCCCGTTGGCCCATCCGCAGAGGGCTTTGTGGGGGGTACACTTCTGCTGCCAGCCTTTGTCGTCTCGTCTGCCCAGTAAGCAGCTCCTGCCCTCTTCTGTGTTTATCTAAATAGATCCTGTTTGGTGATTTAGGAAAACGCTGAGTTGATGGAGGCAGCGGGGAGCGCACCCTGTTCTTGACATTGTAAGACCGGACTAACACGACGCTCCCCCGAACGCCTTTCCCTGACTTCCCTCCTTACTCGGGCTTTGGAACTTTGTTGAAAGCAAAACTCACCCCCCATCCTAGCTCTGCTCTGTTGCCTCTGTGTTTTCAGTGATGGGGAAGAAGGAAAGACGTGATGTTTCTGATGACCCAGGAGGCAAATATATCGCAAGTCTCTGTCCTTCTTTCTCTGATTTCCTGTTCATTAACTAAACAGTGTTGGTGGGGAAGAGATTAAACCTGGCAACTTAGTGGATCTGTCTTCTGAGGGAAGTGAAGTCCATGTGTTAGTCCAGTGACATTTAAATGTTTTAGACATGCCTGCTGAGCGCTCTGTTTTCAGGACTGTGAGCAGACATTCTAAGGATAGCCTATGATAGATACTAATGTCTTTGGAACTGAACTCCAGTCCTCTGCAAGAGCAGCAAGTGCTCTTAATGGCCGAGCCATCTCTCCAGTCCCTTGACTTTTGTTTTGATAGTGTGTAAGCTGCATATGATTGAAACTTTGTTATTTCACAGAATGCTAGTAGCTTCGACTTTTCCTAATTAGACTGCTTCTCTAAAGGAAGAGAGACTTTACATGTTCACATTCTCATAGTGTCTGAGGTTGGGCAGGTGTTATGGATGACTGGGTTGCACTTTGATCATCAGAGAACCCTTCCATTAAGAGCCTGGGCAACAGAGCCCCACTGTGCCAGGGGCATGCCGGGGAAGGAGCTGGGGTTCTGTCTTCTGTCCACAGTCCAGCTTGCCAGCCAAGACCGTGAATCAAAGTCTCCGGCACAAAGTCATATTATGAACCCTGTGCTTCCTGTAGAGTTTGGCTCACTGCGGGCTGATCTCTAATAAAGACAAAGGCCAGGGGACAGAAATATCCTTCTTTTTGCTCCTGGCAAATACCATTTTGATTCTGTCTCCATCTTAGTGTCCAGAAAATTGGATTGGAAGCAGAGCATCGCTCGGGAGTAAATCAGATTAGGGCGTCCTCCATCGCTGCCTCCAGCAGGCGTTTCATTCTGCTGTGCACTTCACTCATCTATATGAAGTCGTTTATGACCCCCCCCCCCGCCGTGTCACAGGGACATTTATAAACCAACTGAGTCAGTACAGGCAATGGGGGACCCTCCTATTCACAGGGCCTAGAGGGGCGGGCTTATTGGAAATACTGCCAGTGACTTCATTTTGTCTGGAGAGTGTCTGTCTCCTCTCAGTCCTAAGCTTGATGCTAAGTGACCTCAGGAGAACCTCCATTTGTCCCTCACAGGCCACTTGGCATCTGTCAATGGTCGAGGCCCTAGAGCTGACTGGAGTGGGACCCTGAATCCTGGTTCAGCACAGGTGCTTCCAGAGTCTTCTATGTGGGCACTTATGAGCAGGATAGTATGTGCTCACAGTTTCACAGGAACCCATCTGGTGACAAGAGGCGGTGAGAAGCGAGCAGCACAGCTGTGTGCAGCAGGAGTAAGGAACTGCCCTGATGGGTGTCGAGGTTTCCCTTTCCTCCCGAGACCTTTCATTTTCCAAGGACTTCTGGGAGCATTTTTTGTCACAAGATGCGGACGGGTCCTGCTTGTTTCTGTGGCACAGATGCGTTTAAGAACAGAGCCTTGCATACGTGAAGCTAAAATTAGGTCCAAAAAGCTCCCAGTCTCTTCCAGAGCTGACTCTCCCCGCCCCCACTCTCAGGTCAGCCATGGAACCCAGGACCTCATGCTTGCTGGGTGAGTTCTCTACTGTTGAGCCCTGCCCCAGCTTTCCCCAAAGCCACAGGATCTCACCCAAGCCCCTGTTGTGCCAGGAGCCCCTTATTGTTCTCTGACGCCTTTCTCTGTCCTTGTAAGTTTAGAGGTGGTTAGGAGGCCCGTAGAGTCCTGTGCACCACAGTGACCTCAGAAACGGAGGCAGAAACCTGCTTCCCCTTACTTCCCATTGGCTAGCTGGCCATAGGTCATGAAATACCAGTGCTTGACACCTGGTGAATCAGGAATTTGGAACTCAAGGAGGTCCCAAGGAGAGAATAGGAAACAGGACCTAAGTGTTGCCATCTGGTCCTCCATAGGTCACCCCAGTCTTTCTTCCTGCCACTTCTAAAACTGGTTTGATTACCTTTCTTGTGGCCCCCATCATCCACCTCAGACTGAATGGAGTGAAAGTCAGTGTGTCCCTGGGAGTAACAGACATAGGAGTCAAAATACCATGCCACTCTCCTCAGACCAAATAACAAAAATGCTTAGGCTTTTAGCTTTTAAAATTGTGGGGTGTGATCTCATTGTATTTGGGCTACACTTCTTTCTAGTTGATAACTCCAATGTTATTGTGCTTAGCTATCCGTGTTGGGCATCAACCCAGAGCTGGGGTAGACTTTATTTATGTCTGATTTCTTTGTTAAACTGATTCTTTCTCATGCCCTACTTTTAGGATTTGAATTTTAGCAGAATTAATCTGAACTGACTCAGAATTACACAATTAATTGCATTCAGCTTCAATTACAGTTTGTGCTAGCTGAGCCAGGCTATTGTCCTCCCTGGGACAGGCACTTGCACATGGCTGTTTTGGCAGGTGCAAAGGCCCTGTGGCTCTCTGGTCAGTGTGCCAGCTTCTTGGGGAAAGTCTTTTAAGGCTGACACTCTCTCGGCAAGTGCAAGAGAGCAGTAAGGACCCAGGAGTGCCATGTGGGCAATGACTTCAGCTTCTTTTGGAGCCCAGATTCTGGTGTATAGGGTAGAACAGGAGGTAGCAAGTCCCAAGGTCAGAGAGGCTCTTTGTGAGATTCGGCCTTTCTTCGCTGTTGTGGATCCTGTATTCGCTGACCGTGGGCTGGGTCAGGGAAGGCAAGGGCCTCTTCTCAGCATAGAGGATCCAGAGGATGAGACCAGGTAACAAAGGGACTCCTAGAGGGAGGTGGGAATTAGCAAGAGGCTGCGAAGTGATCAGTGGCAGTGTTTAGAGGAACTGTCCTCTGAATGAATCAGCTACAGGTCTGGGCTTATTCTCCTCGGGTGGGGGATATTGTTAGATCAGTGTGCTGAAGTTGGGGACAGCCTGTCTCCAGCTCCTGCTCCTCTGGAATGTTCGTATTTTCTTCGCAGGCTGACTTCATTCACACTGTCTATTTGGCAACATATGACCGAATTTGGAGCCTAGCTCTTTTTGGCAGGAAAAGTTCATTAATTTTAGTTGGCTCCCCACGCCCTTCACAAGTGTTCTTGAAAAAAAGAAAATCTGCCTCTCATAGCCACACAGACACCATCCCTTGCCTGGACTTCCGGGTTCTAAGATGGTTCTGTGTGTGTGACCGGGGGTGGGTGCTCTGAGGAAAGAGCCCCCCACCCCCTACCCCACCCCAGAGCATTTGAAGTGAAGCTGCCAGGAGGGTGGTCAAATGCAGGGCATTTGTGAGTTCATAGACTACGACAGATGATCCTCTTCTCTTTGATTGCGTAAGCGCTGCTCCGCCGTTAAAGGAAATGGGCACCCGACTGCGCCAAGCTCAATCATCTTCATAGACTTAGAGCAAAAGACCCGCTCCGGCATCTGGATGAACTGGATTCTCGATGTGTGGGTGGGAGACTTCCTTCCACTCGGTATCCAAGGACTCGGGGCTGGGAAGAAACCTAAGTGCGTGCTGCACTCTGTCCATGCCTCTGTAAATGGATCCTACCTGCAGAGCACAAAGTTCATTGAAACCTCTATGTTGGAAGCCCAGCTGGCCTCATCTATTTGCTTCCCCCCACTGCCCCTCCTGATTTCTCTCTGTAGCCAGTCTGACACTCTTTCCAAAGTCCACTTGTCACCTCACTATGTGACCATACCTGTACGTAACTTCACAGATACAGTTAGTTACAGTGAGGTCTCACTAGGTTAGCGTAGGCTCCCATCTCAGTGCCTGTGCTAACACACAGAAGAAGTAGGGGAGATGGCAGAGGCAGGGGGCGGTGCAGTGTGTGTACAAACCAAGGAATGCCAGGAAACACCAGAGACTGAGAGGGAAACAAGAAGATCCTCTCCAGAGCTTCCAGAAGAATCAGCCATGTCAACAATACGATTTCAGACTTCTCTTCACAGAACTAGAGAACAACTTCCTGTTGTCTAAAGCCATTGGTGCTTAGCCTTGGGAACTATTAAGCATTCCATCGTACCTCTTCACCCTCTTTTTGTACTTTTTAATCAACATAAGGCATACCTTGCTGTCCATTCTAAGTGTACCTGTGTCCCTCCTATGTGTAAGAACTGTGAATAGCATTTTTCAATTGACTTTCTGAATGAGGTTCAGTAGGAGGCCATGATCAGTCCTCAAATTCAGAGTTGATAGCACTAAAATCCCTGTGATGCCTAGATATTCCCTCAGTGGTTGGGGGTGCATCTCAAGCCTTGTCATCTACCAGGCTAGCCTGCCATAGTAGTATCTGAGCTAACTGCATGTTCCCTTTGCTGCTGTTTGAGATGCTTTGAGAGCTGACTTTGTTATAAGTAGGTGAAAGAGCAGGTGTAGAAGACAGAAACTAGAGACCCCCCCCCCCCCACCCCCCACCCCCCTCACCCTCCGCTTTCTGGCTTGCTTCACTTACACTGTCAAGGGCAAGGAGCTGGTTTGAACAGGGCACTGCGGGGCTGCACTCTATGTCCACCATGTCTTGTTGCTTTGCTGGAGGTCATACTACAGCATTAGAGGAACACTCTCTACGGTAAAAGGAAAACACAGCGTGGGGAGATTAAAGCTGGCATGGAGTTGCCCCAGTGGATTATACTAGCTAAGACTTCTTGGCTATGCCTTGATTGTCAGTGGCTCTGGGTATTCATGAAGTGATCACACTTGAAGAGAAGTGTTTCCAATTTTGGAGCTTTTAGGGTTTAAAAAAATTGCTTAGACTTTATGATTTGAGCATCTGTAAGATATTCCCAAATCTAGAACTTGTCATTGAAGTATTTCAGATGTCAGAGCATTTTGGATATCAGATTTTTTTTACAGTAGAGATTCTGGACTTATGTAGGGTTTCTTGGTGTCCAAGGGTGGTCATGAAGTCTAGGAGACCTCAGTGGCCCCATCCTGCTTCCAGTTCGTTGAGTCCTAGAGGGTCCTTGCTAGAATAGGGACACCAGTGGTGCCATCAAAGATTTGCTGCTGATGCTAGATCTCTACAGAGGCTAGCTAAGCACTTGACTTCTGGGAAATCTCAGTAACTACTGATGAGGACCATTAACTAGTCAGGAGAAAGGCTGGAATATGTTGGACTCCTGAAGACATCAGACATCTTTTTGTGATGGTGGGTTTTTTTTGTACATGAAATCCTCTGTTCTCTCTCACTTGTCAAGATGGTTTAGAGCAAGCAGCCTGACACCAATATTACAACTTCCACAAAACCATACTGTGACAGTTGTGAGTTCTAAGACAAGACATTATAGGGATTCAAAACTACCTGTAGGGTGAGAGCATACCATTTTAAAATTTGAAAGTTAAGGGACAGTATTGAAATACACACACACACACACACACACACACACACACACACACACACACACAGCCTGATTCTCAGAAGCACTTCAGAGTCCA